GCTTGGGGGTTGTTTTGTGTCATGCTTTGTTCTGTGTTTTTTTTTTTTTTTTTTTTTAGACTTATGGCTGGTGCTCTTAATTCAGAGTGACTTAGTGCCAAAGAAAAAGCTGGAATGTGATTGTATGTTTGTCTTTGAAAGCAAACTTCACATAAACAGACACTGAGAGTTCCACCATTGAAGCAAGTGACTGGCCTCTTGAAGGAGTGGAGAAGTACGTTACTTTCTATTTTCTTGAGTATGCTTTTGCTGATCAGTCTGTCTGCCTGTGACAGATACCGTAAGGACAGATTTGCTGACAAGTGGCCCTTTTTACACCTTGCCCTAAAATGCACATTGAGTCCAGTGGTAGTGGTCTGCTTTTCTGTCCTTGGCTCCCAAACTGTAAAATTGTCTCATGGATTCGATCAAGTTCTTGGGAAATACGCTAAAGATTAAATTATTTGTTAAGTGGATCAGTAACAAGTAATTTAAAATCAATTTGCAAATATTTTTATAATACAGAAACAGAAACAGAAAAAGTAAATTGCCAGAAATTCACATTTCAGGTAAGGACTCGATGCTGTTCCTTGTCATATACAGTAGGGTACTAAACTGAATACCTTTGTGACTGGGACTTTTGGTCAGAAAAATACTATTTGAATTTAACCTGACACATCGGCTTGGGCTCTGGGAAGTTATAACAGGCTTTCTCTGACCTCATCAAATTCAGTGGCAATAAAATAATCATTAGTTGCAGCACTAATACACACATGTGCTTTTTTGCTCAGTTTTAAATGAGCAGATCAACACCACTTTGTCTGTATGCTAAATATGAAGCTATAGTCAGCTGCCATTTAGCTTATCTGACCATAAAACTGGAGGCAAGGAGTAGTGGTTTCCACCAGTTAACAGTCTTTATGCTGAGCTAGGCTAATCCCCTCCTGGTTATAGAATCATATTTAGGCAGACTTCATCTTCTCATCAAACTCCTGGCATAAAATGTGAATGAATATTTGTCAGAATGTCAAATTGGTCCTTTTATATCACACCTAAGGCAAAACTGAAAGATTAGAATGTGTTATGATGATCTAAGTGGGCACAAGGGAGGTTATGGAACAGCATGCACTATTCCATCACTGTTTGTATTTCGTGCATGCTTGGAAAGATGTTTAGACTTTCATAAGGCTGAATTTGTATAGTTAGAAGACTAAATAAATATGTAACGCAGCTGGTTGTACAATAACTTAACTACACTCACATAGGATTTGTCTTTGTTTAAAGTGCAGATACACTGAGGTTTAGTATATGCAGATTTATGGGTTGTTGGCAGTGTGGTTTCATCACTATTCATCTTTGGCACGCTCTTGACAGAGCAGCTGAAGAAACAGTCAAGACGTATGTTAATGTAAAAATGGATCAGAGTGTAATGATTGGTTTTAATGTGAACGTTGAACATTTTGGGAATCAGAAAACGAAACTTGCTCTCAAATAATTTAGGACCGATATTTGAAGCTAGAACAGGAAACAAACTTACTCATTGTCATAGATGTTCCCTCCCAGAATATTTGGACTAGAAAGAAAATATGACTGACAGACTGAGCTTGCTGACGTTCAAAGGCTTGTGTTCTCATAATAGATTTCCAGCCTCCCCAACATTTGTCATTCTTACAAATAGTAACTGAAAAGGACAGGTTTATTATTTCTGAATTTGTGCGGAGGCTGTAACATGAAATGATGTACAGCAATAGAAAAGAACCAACAGTATTCATTGATGTCAATGTCTATGTTGTTATGTATTGATCATTTTGTACAGAATGTATATTGAGCATGTGCATACAATGAAATTGTTTTTATTACCAATAAGATACAATACAACATTGATGTGAATGTTTTAAGCTCTGATTTTAGTTGTCTTTTTTTTAATCATCTCCAGACCCTGCTAATGAAATGGCCAGTACAGCACACATACAGTATAGGTGCTGTTTGTAGACAACACATCTAGCTGCCTGTTTCCTAAGCTGACCCAATCAAGACATTCTTTAGATAAATTTAGGTACGTTTTATAAGCAAGTAACAATGATCTGGTCTGATCAATTGCACATAGTGTGAAACGAGCTCCTATAAAGGTGAACATCGTGTATGCCCATAGCAAATACTGAAACAAAAGACCAGAAATATTATTTTAGATACACAAGTTAAAAGTCCTGCCCAGTCCTGGTGTAGCTGAGTAAACATGAACATGCCGCTTCTATTGGTTTTAAAGAGACAATATGTTATACCAGATAAAGCATAACTGGGAACACTAGTTTAACTCAGCATATTTAGCATACTAATAAAGAATCAATAAGTAAATGGTTATTGCAGTTGTAAGCAGATATTAAGACAAATGTTTATTTTTGTATTTGTTAACAACTTCTTATGTGAAACATCCACAGATGTTGTATTTCTGAACATACCATATGTTTTATTTAGTTGCCTTTGTGGATTTTAAATGTTTAGAAAAAAATCCACCAGTGAATGAGTTTTTACCATTATGTTATACTTTATTGTCAGTAATTCATTAATTATTTATACAGCAGTAACCAGTGTTAATCACATAGAGTGCATCTTGTAAAAGCCTATCTCACCTTGTACGTAACTAAAATAAACATAAAAAACATTCTGTTGATAATGCTGAATATGTGAAATACAAATATAAAACATACAATTCCTGCCAAAGTACTTCTCTAAAATTCCCGCTGACTCTGTTTAAAACATTGCGGCCACTTTGACGCTTGCCTTCCTGACTTTTGCAAAGCTGGTGACTCCCACCAGCTCATGAAGATATTTACATTTGAGAATGTCTGTTGTTGTAATGGTGCTTGAGACTTTCTTTACCACTTTCCCTCAAACTTCAATTTCAGACAGAAGCGAATCACACAACTGCTGCTGCTGAGTTGTTCATCGAAAGTGTGTCGATCAGTCACGTGATAATCCCTCCAACTGTAAACGCAGAGACAGTCATCAGATTTTTTTTTTTTTTTTTTTTGCACACTATGGCAGCAAGATGCTCAAAGCAGCAGAGACCGAGGACTGGACACTTCACATGGACTATAAACACCTTTACTGTCATCACAGGATCATTTCATAGACCCTAAAACCCACTACTGTTACACACAGACTGTCAAGCTGTGTCTATTGTTTTTGTATATAAAGAATCATAGAAAAAGATTTATTTTGTCATCCTGGTTTTTCTTGTCATATGTCAGCAATACTTTAATTATTTAAGTATTAACAGACTTGAGTGTATTAGACCAGAATATACACAGAAAAATGCAAACAACAGACATTCTGTGATATTGGAGCCCATTATAAAATGTCAAAGTACTTAGGTAGAGAACATTTAGCATGGGAAACATGGCAACAACCGTGTTTAGGAAGATATATTGTACAGACCTTCCTCTTATCTTCTCTTGACTTTATAATACATTTATACACAAGATAAAGTCAATTTGTATTGATTCCCCCTCTCTCGTTGCTTACTGTATTATTACTGGCTGTGCTGCTCGGAGCTACAGTACTTTTAGGAGGCAGATTTCAGAGTCCTAGAAGACCAAGTTGCCTAATTCAGAGACATGAGATGGAAAGAGCCTCACTATGCTTTTATTTTCAGTTACATTACACTATTCCTACACATTCATACAGATTCAAACTAATTAATAAGTATGTCAATTCTTTTGAAATTGACACTGCATGGGGTTACAGAAAATCTACAACCCACCTGGAAACTTGAAAGTGTAGCAATTAAGGCTTTTTAGGATATCAGAAAAACCCGAAGAGAACTTTACGTCACCTTTTCTTGCCACCCTCCAAGGGAGACTGGAAGATTTCTATGTGAACTATCAAAGTTTAAAATGTTTTGCCCTTATCTATAGCCTCATCCAAAGTATGAGCCTGCCAGCTTTTAAAGAGGATGTGGGCGTAATGGAGTAGGTTCTGAATAAAAGGCAGAGGACATAAGAACGAAGGAGACATGGGAGCAGCAGAGTCAGAAAAAAACTGCAGAGATAGAAGTGATAGGAAATGAGACAGTAAAAAAAAAGACATGAATCACCAGTGGAGCTTATGTTCAAAGATCTCTTAAAACCTGCTGTGTGTGGAATTGGTTTGTTGGCACATACAATATGTTCTACAGCTCAGTGACAGGAGGGTTGTAAATAGAATTTTTTGATTTGCTCACCATGTACATCCACGTGTTGACTTGGCAGCTACCATCTTCATTAAACTGTAAACAGAGACAGGTGACAAAATCAGGTAAATACCAGGATAAACATGGAGAAACATTATAAATGCAGATGCTGGCATGATTTGGATCAACTTGTTCTCTTAGGGAAGAATCACTATCAGTGCAAAGTTGTTCTGAGTCATCACCTTTACCTTGTGATGAAACATTTCTGTTCTGATGGGAGCGGTCTCTCCCAGGATGACAATGCCCCCATCCCAGGGCATTTGATTGATTTGATGACTATGAAAGTGATGTGGATCACATGCTGTGGCCTTCACAGACACCAGATCTCAACCCAGTTGAACATCTATGGGAGAAATTGGAGCAGCGTGTTAAACAGCATCTCCACCACCATCATCCGAACACAAAATGAGGGAATATCTTTAGGAAGAATGGTGTTCCACCCATACCTTACTGAGACACTTTGTGCTGGGATTTCCTTCCAAATGTCACCTGTCTGTATATTGTTCTGACAGCTGTTACAAAGTGGTGCTGTGGTACTTGCTTTTAAAGATGGCCCTCTGGACCACAGGGATTATAAACCTCCATCTCATACACACATTCACTTCTCTCACCTGCGAGGATCCACACTCCACACCTTAAATTCTCACCTTTATTTTCAACTTTACCTTAAATTTACCACAACCTGAAATTTAAAAGTAAACCTTACAGCTCAGCTGAGCCAATTTTTCCAAGCACTG